ACACACACACACGTATTAGTAACTATAAACTTGGGCAGAAGATTTTTTTTTTAAAGTAACTATATAAACTTGGGTGAGAGTTAATATCATAATTACACATGAATGTATATATATATATGTATATATAGAGGGTAGGGACGTAAAGATAAGCGATTGATTGGAAGAAAAAGGCATTAATAATTAAACGAAACTTACAATCATAATTCATGAACATTCCCTTAAGAAAAAGTCTTAAAAGTCCTGGCATTAAATGGCATTTCAAGAGCGTCCTTATCTGCCACAACAATCATGTAAAACTGCCGGTGGGTGTATTCAATATATGTACGTATATATGCGTGTGTGTGTGTATATATATATATATATATTTATAGAATATAATATAATTTGCTGAAACTGAAAGGAATGTAAAAGAGAAGATATATACTGGTTGAATATTATTAGCCATAAGTACAGAGATATGGGCTGTTTGGTTGCTGGATATCTTGTCTGGCTTTTTGGATGCCACCCTTTTAACACATTAGCTAGCTATACATATAGGGTATATATAGAGCTGGGCTGATCTGGGCTAATGTCCTAAACATGAGGGGTCCCCAACACGCCGACTCCTAAATGCCTTCACGTGTGTTTGGAAATATTTGAGTTGTGCACTTTCGTAAGCTCTCTTTTAGTTGCCCCCTTATATAATATATATATATATACATATATATATATATATGTTATATAAATAATATATAAGTACTTACTTATCTGCTTTTTAAGTAGTTCTTCGCATTGCCCATTTCATGCATCTTTGTTTAACTTGAATTCCATAAACTTTTAGACATTAAAGTTGATATAATATGATGATAACATGATAGTAAAAAGTCTATATTTCAATGTTAGTTTTTAATAATCTCGACAATTTATGTGAAAACTATTCTAAATTAAAGAATATAACGAATCACTCATAATAATTTTTTAAATAAAAATTAAAATAATAATTTTTTTTAAATTAAAAAGTTATTCGGTGTTAAATTGACTGAAGAATAATAAATTAAACATCATATGATATATTTAATTGGTGAATTAGTTTCTTATAGTTTAAAATTTTAGTAAGAATATCTATTTTGAATATCGATTATGATTAATTCAATTATATAAATACGTTGAAAGAATATGAGAAAATAATAAGAATGAATATAGATAAGTACTTTTCGTAGGTCAATCATCTTCTAAACCTAAGAAAAATAAGAAAAGAGATAAGAAGAAAGTTACGAAAATAGGATTTTCTAGTGAGTTAAGAAATACGAGAAGAACATCAAACATGAAGACAAGTACTTTCAATGCCGGAACGAAGAATATTGGATAAGAAATTGCAATTTATAATTGGAATACAGTAAAAAATAATCTATAAATACTCGTTTTATTATATACATGATGACTTAACTAAGCTTTATTAATCTAATGAAGATATTAGGTATCAATATCGAACATGTATCATATATTCATACGAGCTTAAAACTTTTAAAAGTTTGATAACGAATATAATATTTGTATCAGAAATGAATATTATCGATTTAATATTCACAAATATATATATATTTATGATTTACTTAATTTCAACTCTCGCAAAAGACAAAGAGAAACTTTTATGAAGTGAACATATCAACGAGCCAGGTTGTTGTAAATCAAGAAATAAACACAGAAAAAAAAAAGAAAAATAAGAATATATTCGAGAATGAATCATGAATGGAGGCATGGTATGGACATGGACATGGACATGGACACATGCATGCATGGACGGCATAGAGGCAAAACCGGTCCCATGAGAAATTAAACCTTTGGTGGGAAACAACAAGGAAATAGAATTGGTGGGAGGTGTCTTTCCAAAATGTCCCACGTGCGGCTCTCACACCCCACAGCTCACCATCATCATTTAAATCTCACACGTGTGCCACTTCATCATGCTCCATCTTATCCAAATATAAACTTCCCATCCTCCAACCTAATCTTATCATCTTAAGTCTTAATCTTCATTAATTAACATGTTGATTAGCATAATATCAATACCCCACATGACCGTTAGATTTTTTCTTTTTCTTTTTTCTTTGTTGGTCAAAAATACATTTTCATCCTAAAATTAAATATTTTGATTAAAAAAATTAGATCGAATTAGCAAATTTGAATCGAAAAATTTTAGTTTTATTCAGTTCAAGCCGATTAATATTTTTAATATTAAAATTTAAAAAGATTAACTACATAAGTTATATATACTATGTAAATAAAATATTAAAATATTGAATATATAAATAATATATTTAAAAACTAAATTTTCTATAAAAATTTCGATCTACTTTATATTGAACTGAAAATTTTTGATCGGTGCATTCTTTAGTTTAATAAATTTTGTTTTTCATTCGATTTCAGTATGACCAAGTCTAAGTTCGGACTGATGATCACCCCTAAACTCGATCGCAATATTAATTTAATAATGAGCTTACCATTTCGTATTTAGCTATATGTTAATTGGAAAGAATTAGTGAAATAATCACATTTCGGAAATTAATTTTATAAAAAAGTTGTTAAGTAATCAAAAGATATATAATTAATTTCTATATGTTAATAATTAAGAAGACAAATGGGTAGAAGAAAGACTCTTTAAATTTTTTTTTGGGTAAATTTATAAATTAGACAATACATATATATATATCTATATAATTCGACTCAAATTTATAATTTTTTATAAAGAAAGAGACGTATTAATTATTTAATTAAATGGTAGTCGATAAAAACGACTCGGATTAAAGTTGTAACGAAGAAAAAGAAATTAAAAAGGGTAATAAAGAGATAATTGAAGAGGATGGTGGAATTTCGTTGAGTCGAAAAGGTATGGACCCTTGTTTGTCTGTGGTCCTTAAAATCACAATTAATCTCACCAAGTTCGTGTGAAAGGGAAGAAATATATATATATATATATATATACATATATTGTTCATAATTTAAGAAATCTATACATATATGTATATATATGTATGTATATAGTAACAAAAAAATAACAAGCAAAAGCAAAAAAAGTAAAAAAAAAAAAAAAAAAGAAATCAAGAAGAAAAAGCCCATGAGATCAGCTCGAGAAAGCAGCTTTGGTAATTGTCAAATCTTGGTCTAATTATTTTTCGAATGCATGTAAAATGTTTATGAGTTGTATTTTGGTGTGTTTTGGGTGTCCATACATATTTTATATATATATATAGACAAGCACTCACACATGTGTATACATATATATGTAATATGTATATATTATCTTTTTGGTGGTCATAGAGCAAAGTTGTGTTTAGATACAGGCATCTATCCACCAACAAAGCTGCCCCATTTTGAAAAAGCACGACTTATCAGCAAACTTTCACAAGTTTGGCTGGCAATTAGCCAACCCTAGCTAGCTATACACACACACATATATATATATATATAGGTACACATATACATTTATACATATATTTTTTCATGCACGTACCCTAACCCATGCATGCGTCTTGTTTCTTCTTGTTGGCTTAAGAACCTTCTTACTTCACTCACTCCAATAATGTATTAGCTGAATTAATTTACTCATTCAGTATATTGCTGCTTAATTCACTTACAGCTGCTATATATATATATATATATAAAATTTTGGCTGGCCACCTTTTAGATTTAGCAAGTAAATTGTAAAAAGTTTAAAAAATTAAACTGATTATCATTTCAAATCCTTTGTAAAAAAATTGACATAAAATTCTCTAATACTTACCTCTATAGTATTTATACATACATACGTACATATATATATATATATAGTATTAGCTACCCATCGTTCTCCTTTACAATTATAAAGAAAGCGATAACATAACTGTCTCTGCAAAACTAACTTCATTTCTCTCTGCACAATATCCACATATATGTACAGAGAGTTCATGAAGAATATCTTTAATTTGCAGCTCAGGATTAGAATCTTTGCCGACACACCCCACGTATATATACATATATATATATATATATATTTACGAGGGATTGAAAGAGTTTATGGATGTTAATCTGACATCAAGGCTTAAAACTATACTTGTGGACGTTAAGTTATTTTTTGTTCATCCTAATTAATTTCTTCCTCTCACTTTCAAATCAATCAGCCATTGCCATTTATTTTTCTCACCTAATTGCAGATTCTAATTCCACCTGTATGTATATATACACCACAAATTTGTCAACTACCTCATTCTCCCCCTTTAATTTCTATATAATATATACATATACCTATATAGCTCGATAATCTCATATACATATATATATATATATACACACACACGTATACAAGATTCGTGCATAAAGTCATTGAACCATGAAAAAGGGATCAGGTGCGGTCAATATCTCCCGAACAAAGAAAAGAATAAAACATAAAAATAATATTTATATATATATATATAATTATTTAGAAGAAGAACATGAAGATGTAGTAGAGACGTCAGTCACATGTCCATGTAAACCATACATTAAACCCATAAAGCCAATCAATTGAATACCCACATGGCCATGTCATCCAATCAGGAACATCCACGTAGGACCCACTTCTTCACATGGGGGGATGTGGGGTCCTCCATCAATGCGCGTGATTCAACGTTCCTCATTGACTTCTAAAAAGCAACGCCACCCCAAGGATTCATCTCTACCGTCCATTTTATGGGCCCACAGTCTTAAATACCGTTGGCCATGATTGTCTCTCCCGTGTTCCCTCACCCACGGCAGCACACTCCCCGGTGCCCATGATCTGAGGAGCAGCCGTATCTGTTGTTGTCGGTTTGACATGAATATTCCACCCACGCGCTCGCTTCCACGTGTCCCCCTCCTCGTCAGTCGGGTAGCGCGTGGGAGAGAGACGTGTGGGGTTGTCGCATGCATGCAGAGAGAGCGAGTTAAGCCACGTACACATCGTCACCATCATCACCATCGTTCATTTCCTATAAAACTCTTCTCATCTTTCATCGCCATTCAACACAACAGAGTTTTGTTTTCTCCTGTTTGGCCTCCGGGAAAATTCAACCTGCAACATATTGGAAATACTAGTCTTTATTCATCTGAATAGAAAATCGAGGTAAACAATGAGAAGATCTTTGGGATTCGGGAACGACGATGATCTGAATAATCTGAAGGCAACTGAACTGAGACTTGGATTACCTGGAAGTGAGGTACCTGATCAGAAATCACAATCAATCACAACAAGCAGCACTTGCTCTATTCTTAGAACCAACAAGAGAGCTTCACCTGAAAATTCTGATGACTTTTCAAGATCATCAACCTCCATTAGTACAACTTCTTCATGTGTATCAAATGCTAAAACACCAGAAGACGCTGCACCTCCTGCCAAGTAAGTAAAACTCTCTCCTATCTTTGGGTTTGAATAAGTTCTTGATTTTGCAGATTCTAATTGGTGTATATATGTAATTGATAATAAATACAGGGCTCAAATAGTAGGTTGGCCTCCGATCAGATCTTACAGGAAGAACAGTTTACAAGTAGAGAAGAGAAGTGAGGGAGATGGTGCAGGAATGTTTGTGAAAGTGAGTGTAGATGGAGCTCCTTACTTGAGGAAGATTGATCTTAAGGTTTACAAAAGCTATGCAGATCTCCTCAAGGCTTTGCAGAATATGTTCAAGCTGAAAATTGGTAAGCCATATTTATGAGCATTCATATATATTCAAGGTTTAAAATCGGTTTATGACGATTTAAACGTACTGGGTATTGATGATTTGTTTGTATGTGTGTGTATATATATAGGTGAATATTCAGAGAGAGAAGGATATAACGGATCTGATTATTCTCCAACTTATGAAGACAAAGATGGTGATTGGATGCTTGTTGGAGATGTTCCATGGGAGTAAGTTCTCTCTCTCTTGAACTAGCATGCATGTATTCTACATACACATATATATATGTGTGTGCGCGTGTATGTATATATCTGTACGTAAACTTATATAGGTTTGATCTTGTTTTGATACAGAATGTTTATCTCCACATGTAAGAGGCTAAGAATCATGAAAGGGTCTGAAGCTAGAGGATTAACTTTTCTATGAAACCAAACATGAAATAACCACTGAGATGCAGCAAAAGGAAGATCAAAGAAGATCAGTAATCATGGAGAAGATTCATCCCAGTTTGGGTTCTGATCTCCAAAATGTTTATTCTGAGAAGAAAGATATATTGTTAGCAGTTCATACAGATGAAAAAATATATATTTTTTCCCTTTATATACAGCTGGTTTTAGGTTTCCAAGGTTTCAACCCAGAGTTTCATATCCATTGAATAGTAGAGTTAGATGATTAGTGGAGAATATGAAAAAAATTTTAAGAAAAAACCAAGAGGAGAGGTATTTTTTCTTTTATCGGATCCAACCTGTAGAGAAGAAAAGAAAAAAAAAATCTTTGTAATATATATATATATATATATATATATTCAAGAAGTTTCATAATTTTTATTAATCAGAGCAATATATATGTACTCTCCAATTAATACAATTCAAATGAAGAAATATATTTATATATTTCTTGATTTGTCTTCCAATGATCTATTATATATACTTACATAGCCTAAATCTATGATATATGCTGATGATTTTATTTATTGATATAAATCATAGCACTCCAAGAAAAGAAGACTTATACTAGCATGGAATACTTAGATATTCAAAAGAAAATGAACTTCAAAAATTTCAGGAGGAACTTCTTTTTTTTTTTACTTTGAAAAGGGAAAAAAATTATGAGACCTTTAATCTTAGTATACTATGAATGCTTGAATCATAAAAAAGTGATTTTGCAGTAGTTGTTCCATGGGAAACTGACTCCTTAAGTCTGTTATTAGAAGTTAGATTTATTGTTTTCGGATTAAACTTATAGATGTTTCATGAAAATTAGTTTTCGGAAAATCAATTGGTAAAATCGGGATAAAATTAAAGGTGTCTCCCCGATTTAGATTAAATCAAGAAGAAAAAATGAACTATGCGACTTTGATAATGAAGAGAAATGGAAAGAGCGAGGATTCAGTTAGATCTATCCCGTGTTTAATCTTCATAAAGATGAATGAATTTTAAAATGAAATTAGACGATTTAATCGAACTCAATTTTTGTTTCAACTTAAATGTTACTTGACAATCGATTCCAATGCAGGCCGACTAATCAAATTGAGATATTATATCGATGATTAATTGATAAATAACAATCTCGATCAACATAAATATATAATTTTGGTACAACCAACCTTAAGTTGATTTTAATTCTATCTCACAGCAAAATTGCAAGGTTTCTTTGGTTAACTTTGGTGAAAAAAGCTAAGAGCATGAAGGTTTACTTCTGAGAAATTTTTAAGCAATATGAATGGGATTTTCGAGATTCTCTAAGCAATTTAAAATCATCTAGATATGGAAATTATCGAAGTAATCCTGTATGTACTGATATGTAGAAGGCAACACATGTAAAAGCCCCCTCTTTACAGAATAGCCTCAAACTTTCTGATTTACAAAATGAGAAGGAGGAGGCTAGAAGAGAGGAAGAAGATCATAACAAGTCCTAAAATGGCATCAGATCATCAGCAGTCAGAGATTCTACTCTCATTCTGTTATCCTGATCATGAAGAGACCCCATTCTTGTATCCAATATTCCAAGTTGAGACTTCACCCATGGTGGATTGTACCTACCTTCGACCCACAATGCTTCTCCAGTATCTTTGTGCTTGAAATCTGGATGCTTCGGACTCCTCTGCATTTTGAATTAACCCGAATTTGGTTAATATATTTCAAGAATAAAAGAAAGGCTTTGCAAAAATGCTGTAAATATAAGAGACTTTTGATTTCCAATTTCTGAAAGTCTATTTAGTACACAACCTTGGTTTTCCTATTATCCCACCAATCCAAAGGATTTGCAAAAATGCCTGCCAGAGTTCTTGTGTGGAACCAGTATTAGTTGCATTGTTGTTTCCTAATCTCTTACCTACAAGGAAAATTCCAACATTAGGCAGCTAACTATGTTATCATCACCGCCTGTTGCTGATTCAAGATGTTTCAGAGTTTACCAGCCGTCATATAATTAGAGTCGCGATTATTCAAGGTCATTGATGAGGAGTTTCTTTCTACAAAATTCAGTTCTTGGACAACTACCTGCAGCAGAGCTGACAAATTAGTCTGTTTGCAATAGGCAAATGGGAAAATAATATGGTAGAATAAAGTATGAATAAAAGAGAAGACCTTATAGTAGGTCTGCTGCTTCCCATCGTCATTTTCAACTGTATCTGAGACTAGTCGCCCGGAAACATATATTTGTTGACCTTTCTCTACATGCTGGAATGCAACATGTGCCAGCTCATCCCATAAGGTCAAATTGATCCTAAGACAACCATCATTAATTCGGAATAATAAAACTGATATATATTCTATGCATCTGGTTTTCATATTTTATGAGTTATAACCAACACAACAAAGTGGAAGTTCCCTTCAGTCTAGATGAGATAGAAAAGATGAAAATGGACTAATCTCCTAATGTATTGACCTTTCTTTGTCGTAGTAATAGAACTGATCCTGCAGAGGAAAGGAACAAAATTCCAGATGAAAAATTGAAGCCACTACATAGAATGATCGCGAAGGGGAAATAAGTGGTGCCATTGGCAATTGCATTGCAGTTTGGTGCAGTGAACAATAAGGGAAACTTTTGTCGAGATGGTAACGGGGTTCTATAAATTGAATTCAAGACAAATTAAAATAATAATAAGTAGCCAAAGCTTAAGAAGTACAATAAGAACTCAAGGCTAGGTAGCTTTTAGAAGAAAATTTTTGAAGAGATATGCTCAAGCTCAATGCATAGACATATAGCCAGAGCTTTGCCCATGATTAATACCAGTAGAAGCACCAAGTAAACAATTTCATGTCCCTACAGTAAGAGGAGATTAACAGTAGCATAAATATTTCACATCTAGAAAACCTAGAATATAGACCTTCCTCTTTAGTGGGCACCAGAGATGTACATCAACTGCCTCCCCAGCCTCTCTATTACCCACCTTGAAGCAAAAAGGTGCTTGCAAAAACCATCCATAAACAAAATGTTTGACACGATTCATGTACGCTCTTCCCACCAATCCTTAACTTTTTCCCTCTCCCTAGCCTTCTCTCTTCTGTTTCTGTCACTCGTTGGAGATCAAACATCATTGTAAGCAATGAGCACATAGGTTTTAACTAAACATGAATTAAAGATGCGGTTGGTGTAGAGGGGGCTGTTTGACTTCATATATCAAGAGTGAGGTAAGCACAATCCATCTGGGTCCAAGCCATACTTACGGAGATTTAAAAGAAGACTGGTATTTTAGAGAAAGAGAAAAAAAGAACTTAGGAGGACTGAAGTGTTATTTTTGATTTATTTCTTGATGTAAGACAGAGCAATTGGTCAATCCAAACGGTTAGCATTAAAGACCATATCCATTATACCAGGGGGATTCCCATGGCACACATACAAACCCTCCCACCCCCTCGCAGCACACTAAAATACACACCCTATTGTACACCAACATACAAAAACTTCATCTTTTTGTCCAAAACAAAAGAATTGCTTAATGCTGGAGATCTTATTTAGATCGGAAAACTGATTTCTCAGTTTATTCTTCTCAGTTTATTAAAGTTTATAACCTGTTCCACCTCCTCCCTTTTTACTCTTAAAACCAACAATGCCTCCCATTCGCCTTCCTGTTCCTCATTCTTCAAACTTGCAGGGTTTAAGCAGTCCAGATTTCCAAAAAGAACAAATTCATTATCATCTTCCATTCCAGTTCCACCCAGTTATCATCTTTTCAATAAAGAAACACAATAAATAATCAAGGTTTTTGGCAGATTGTCAGCATGAAAAGAAAGCCACCTCAACAGGAAACATGCCAACATGATCGATATCACTTCAACCATCACATTTTCATCTCGGATAAAATTTGATAACAGAAGAAAACACATTAACAATCTGAAAGGAAACACTTGGGGTCCAGGCAAACAAACTATACCCCCCAAAATTTTCCCAATAAATCTCCAAATTTCTATGGAAAGTACGTCAGATAACATCACAATTGACAACATAATAAAAAACTATACGCCCAAGCTAAAGACGCCAAGGCTTACCAGGTGGTGTCGGTGGCTGATTTTTTGACGGCAAGGCGGGTCCAGGCAAGGACCTTACCGGAAGGGAGGTGCTTGATCTCCACGGGGATAGCGACTATGCCGATGAGGTGCACCATGTTAGTCAGCTCCTTCCTCCACTGAATCTCGGCCGGTTTAGGGTGCGCCACCTGATGGCCATAGCTTTCATTTCTGTAATCAAGGGAGTATCTGATTCTGCCTCCAAAACGCGAGCGGCTACGGTGAGAGGAGAAATGAATGGAAATTTGGGGGGTTAGGGATTGGGTGTACGAAAGCGAGCTTCCGCGCGAACAAAGGAAAAGTTTACTCGATGACGATAAAAGCATTTGTTCTAAAGCCATTTGCCGTATCCAGCACCAGCAGATATTTTTCTTTCTTATCTCTTCTTGTCTCTACTCCTACTATGGAGTTTATTAAAATTAGTTGCAGGCAGCGCGCCAAACTGAGAGAGGAAGATGATCTTATTGGGCCTCGAAGAGCTCAACTTCAAGCTAGAAGAGCCAAACTTTAAGCCCATAATGAGGCGTAAATTCAAAACGGAGCGTTTCGTTACTCCACGAGGCGGGGGAGGTCTTCTTGGGCCTAGTAGAGCCCAACTGTAAGCCCATAACTAGGCCCAAATGTAAAACGGAGCGTTTCGTTACCCACGAGGCGGGGCGGATCTTCTTGGACTAGAAGAGCCTAACTATAAGCCCATAATGAGGCCCGAAACAGAGCGTTTCGTTACCAACGAGGCAGAAGAGGATCTTCTTGGGCAGGCCCAAGTTCAAAACGGAGCGTTTCGATACCCACGAGACTGGGGGATCTTCTTGGGCCTATAAGAGCCCAACTGTAAGCCCATAACTCAAAGCCCAAATGGAAAAGATAACAAAACGGAGCGTTTCGTTTGCCACGAGGGGGATCTCCTTGGGCCTAGAAGAGACCAACTGTAAGCCCATAACTCTCAAGGCCCAAATTCAAAGATCACCAAACGCAGCGTTTCGTTACCCACTAGGCGGGGGGAATCTTCTTGGGCCTAGAAGAGACCAACTGTAAGCCTATAACTTAAGGCCCAAATTCAAAGATCACCAAACGCAGCGTTTCGTTACCCCCGAGTCGGGGGTGCGCAGTACGCAACCTCTGAAACATGTTGGATGTTTTCTCACAGAATATTTTCGATTAAATCAAGTGTTGGGAGGCCCGAATCGCAGCCCTGAGACTCTGCTTTCAGGTTGGAGGAGTACTGTCGAAAATGCTTGCTCGACTCGCGTCTAAGCGCCTTCTTGATATCCGTAAAGTTTTCAGTCAGTTTCCTCAGGTTCTCCTATATGAATTTTCCTTGCCGTTTTCTCGCATTTTCCAGGCACCCAAACACTTTCCTGGATCTCATTTTTGTTCTTCCATTGCATTTCTATCTGCAGGCATCTCGATCCTTCTCCACTGCCTTAAATTACGTGAGTATGCTTTTAGTTTTTTTTTTTTTGTCTATTTTATTTTTCATTTTGGTATTAGTAAATGGAATTTATGTGGCGATTGATTTTGCAGCACATTGATAGTCCGGATAACAATCCTGATCTTCCATGGGTGTTTACTGATGCAAACAAAGAGAAGGTCAGTGAGAAGCCTCTAAATTGATTATCTTTAGTTGTTTAGGTTCTGTAATTGAACAGTACATGGACATGGTAAATTTTTTATACTGGGAAAGGTTGTAGATTGGATTTATTCACTATCTCGTTATCCATCCTTGTTTCCTGAGCTAAAAGATAGTTTCATTGAGAGTTTGACTGAAGATTAGCCTATTTCTCGAGAACCTCCACCTGTCCTCTTTCCCCTATTAGTGGCAAGAACGAAGCTTGAAGATATGATTAGGTAATAGAAGTTATGGACTGCACTATCACTTAATCAAGTTAAGAACGCTTGTCTTGATCTGCAGAAATTCATATGTTCTGTTATGTGACATTCAGTTTTTTATACCATGGCCAAGGAATAAGCGACTCCTCTTGGAGTTCAAATCCAAATATTTATTATGTTACACTCCAATTAAATATTTAGCTTCATTCTAATTTATAGAGCATGCAACCTAAAGTTTCTAGTGAGTAGCAATAGGACAACAATGGTTTGGGGATGCAATCTTGGTTTGCTACTCTACATTTTCCCCATACCCAATCGAGGAGATGAACCATGTTCTCATTTGAAATTATGTATCCCTATGTTGTAGTCTTGACGAATGGATCTAGTTATGGGACCATTAACACATAAATCAGTAGGAAGAACAAGGTTCTTCTTTGATTTTCTGCCTTTACCTATTTTTACATTGAAATTAAGGGCTTGTTAGGAAGAGAGAATCCTATGATCTCTAGAGTAAGAAACTACTCTGCCTTTAAATTTTTCTTCATACATAATCTGTAAGACAGCAAATCTGGTTTTATTACAATTAGAGTGTAGTTATCTGGAAATTATTTTTAGAATTTAGTAACTATCTTGTATAATCCTCTTAATTTCTTACATCCATACTTACCCAATATTCCTACATAATATTTTACAAAATAAAATACTGAAAAAATAAAACAGACTATTCTTATAAATCTTTGGAAAAGCTTCTCCTTTCCTATTATCTACATCTTAGATGTACTCTAACAGTACTCCCCCTTTGAGGACTGCACTTATTGTCAAGCACAAGAGCCGATGCCTAAGGTGGATCCTATTGGCTCTCAAATCTTTCTTCAGTAGAAGTGTTGAACATGAATGGTTCTTCCACTTTGAGCCAGACGAGCCGCTTGCATTGGTGGCCAAGTGTGAACTGCTCATCACAGTTGAATCAGAGGTTCTTGACGTGTCAGCGGTCTAATTCTTGGGCAGCCGTGTAATGGTGGCTGGTAGCGATAGAAAGTTGCAGCCAGATTCAGCATCTGCTATTGTAATGAAGCGCAACGCATTGAGAAAGAATCAGAGGGAAACACCATTGCCACAAGAAGGCGTTGAAATACCCACTGCTGTTCTGCACTTTTACTCGCAAGTCTAATTCATTGCTGTTGTCAAATCTGTGGTAGAATATAATTCCACTTCTAAAGCAAGTAATCTCGCGAGCAACTCAAGAAAATTACCACTTCCTTTTTGGTTGTCAATGTCCTTGCCTGTGCAGACAATAACTCCAATTTCTTTTGGTACTCTAAAACAGTCCTTTTTTGGCCCAATTTGCTAAATTCACTGAGTTTGTTGCTTCTAATTAGTGGCCCAAGTCTGAATTGACAAAAACACTCTAGTCCCGGTCACTGCAAATATCCAACTTCATGAACCAAACTTGTGTTACAGTGTCAAGATGAAAAGATGCCATGGAGACTTTACCGTGGGTCTGGTGCAAGTTGGTGTCCGAAAAAATGTTCACAGCAACACAACCACTGTAAGGCATCTCCAGAACCATCAACATAGGGAAGATCTAATATCCAACTTCATGAACCAAACTTGTGTTACGGTGTCAAGATGAAAAGATGCCATGGAGACCTTACCGTGGGTCTGGTGTAAGTTGGTGTCCGAAAAAATGTTCACAGCGACACAACCACTGTAAGGCATCTCCAGAACCATCAACATAGGGAAGATCCAATTTGGTGTAACGAGGCAGAAACGGCTGATCAGCATGGTGGTGGTACTGTGTGCGGCAGCATCACACTGGACGCATTGAGGTGCCTGCGCATCACCTGTTGTTGGGCGCAGGATGTCTGGCCGCGCTGAGAATTTTCTTCCTCATGCATTTTGCACGTGGCGAAATATGCTGCACCCAGATAGCATGAGTGCTGGTGGTCTGCCTAGCTGCTTCCTTCTCTGGATTCCATCAGAGCAGTTTTGGCTGACAACTCCAATTTTCCCACTAAAAATTCTAACTTTAATTTGTCTTGTTCCAATCTACTTGATCATCTGCAAAAATTTCTCAAACATGGAGTGTAAGTCCTAATGATTCAAACATGGATTGTAATTCCTAAATGCTTTAAAAAATTCTTGGTGAATACTATATGCACTGTTACTTTTTTTGAAGCTCTCTGCCATTGTATCAATTTGGATAAATTAAAATTGTTCTCTTTTTGTGTTGGTGTAGAGATGGAGGAATGCACTAACGTCCTAATGTGTTGGATCTCGATGCTCCCTTTCAAATATCTTGGCTTGCGCCTAAGTTCTAAATTCAACAACATAACTATTTAGGATCCGATTAATCTCAAGATGAAGAAAGACTGTCTTGTTGGAAGAAAATTTACCTTCTCAAAGGAGGCAGGCTCGCTCTTGCTAAAAGTACCTTCTCCAATCTACCCACCTATTACCTCTCTCTTTCCTATGGGTGCCAATGTTGTTGGGGGGGGGGCTAAACAGTTGAGATGATGCCATCTTGTGCCTTGGGATGTTGTGAAAGACCAATTGTAATAGGAAGTCTTGGCATAAGATCTTTGTCCATTATAAACAAAGTTTTGTTGGCAAGTGAGTTTGGAAGTTTGCATCGTATAATTCTGCTTGTGGAGGAGGTGATTATTGCCTAATACGTGTTGGATAGCAGGGGTTGGAAATATGCTAGAGTCAACTAGAGTTACTGCACTAATCTTTGGAAATGGATTAACAAGGATTGGAGCTACTTCTTCAACTTGCTGCTGTTTGGACTTGTTAATGGTTGAGCTTTAAGCTTTTGTGCGAGTTGTTAGTGTAGGGAGAGACCATGTAAGTCCTTGCTATTGTTAGGGATAAGGACGTTGACTCAGCGATGTTGTGGTAAAAAATAGCGTGTACCTCAATTGTGGAGTGTCCTGCTCGTATTAAACCTTAATGACTGGGAGATTGACAATATGTCCTCCCTTTTAATTTTTCTTGAGACAGGCCCTTTTGGTCCTTGTGATTGTGATTGTCCTACGTTACCTTGTAGTAAGAATGATGTGTTTTTGTGAGATTTGTTTACCATAATCTTCTCTCAAAATTAGGCAGCAGCAAGATTTCCATGGAAACAAATTTAAAAGAAACAAGTGAGAGTTGAAATGGTGTGCTTGCAAGAGGCTGAACACCCTAATCATCTCCTCCTTCAGTGTTTTGAGGCTGGAAGGTTATGGGATTCCTTCCTTAACATATCTTCCATTGTAACTGCTTCGATTATGGATGAATTATTGACTTGGGATGGCAAGGGGGTTGCCTCCCTTTCTCCCAGTGACTACCATGTGGGCCATTTAGAAGGAAAGTAGTAGGGGGGTTTTTAATGGAATTATTTCTTCTTTTGTGATTAGCCTTAAGTATATTGTTTAATAGTATGCCTCTGTTTTTCAAAGAGGACTGAGAGAACCTGGTTGACATTTTGTTTTCTTGACTCTTGTATGGATAATGCTTCGCAGATGCTCAAAATTTTTAGCGTTTCACCTCATTATTGTTAAAACCATCCGTGTGTAGGTTAAAGAGATTCTGTCGCATTACCCGTCCAACTACAAGCAATCTGCAGTTATTCCTCTGTTAGATCTTGCACAGCAGCAGCATGGAGGGTGGCTTCCTGTCTCAGCAATGAATGCGGTATTTTTCTTATTATATTGTTCAGTTTTCTTTAAAAATTATACATGCATGCATGCATGTCAAATTTTTCAGTGCCATTTTCCATTCTTTTGTGAAAAGAGTTATCTAAACTTGGCCATGAATAAGCAAAATAATTACTTTTTTTGAGCTTTTGATAGGAATAGTGATTCTTGTTGTGAGCTTAAGAGCTATAGATTAGCATTCAGCTTAATGAAATCTTAGGAAATCAATTTTTATCATACTTATGGTTTAATCCATCCACATTGTTTCTGTGTATTAGCAATAAGCACACCTTTTGCTTGTCTGGATCAAAATCATAAGCTGCTGCTAAAATTGAATTCTTGCTATTTTTTTTCCTTTTTTCGCTTTTGTTTTTAGTTAAGTTATATTTGGCTAGTTTCTAATCCAGAAACATCAAACATTTGTTTTATGAATTAAAATTTTATATTATTCAATCCAAGCAACCATCTAGAGTTAGCTCTGACATTTGACAGCATAATGGACCTGGATTGCAATTAACAGATGCCTATATGTTTATACGGCTGACTAGATCATTGTCAATTAGAAATGCAGAAGGCAATGCACATTGCTTATAACTGAATATATAATGAATTTTCCAGGTGGCTAAGGTTATAGAAGTTGCTCCTATACGTGTCTATGAGGTAGCGACCTTTTATTCAATGTTCAACAGGACGAAGGTAAGCAATGATTCACTTTATTCCAATACAAATGTGCGTGCCCTATCCCCTGTCATGCTAGTGAAGACGTATGTCCATTAATTTGTTTCATTGGATTCTAGGTGGGAAAGTACCACCTATTAGTTTGTGGCACTACACCTTGTATGATACGTGGTTCACGAGAAATTGAATCTGCTTTGTTGAAACACTTGGGAGTGAAGCGTAATGGTGAGGTTCATAGAGATGTTTATTTCTTTATATTATAAACTCCAAATCTTGTTAAAATGTTATAATTTTATTTAGAACTTACATATCTATTACATGCTATTTGCAGAAGTGACAAAGGATGGTTTGTTCTCAGTTGGAGAAATGGAGTGCATGGTATGTCTGTTCTTAATCTCTTTACTTGTTTAGAAGTGGGCACACTTAGAATTAGAATTGCAATATGTGGAAAGATGTTAGACCACGTTTTCTTAATCTCTTTACTTGTTTAGAAGTGAGCACACTTAGAATTAGAATTGCAATATGTGGAAAGATGTTAGACCACAACTTTTTTTAAATGACCAATTATCTAAGGAGCCTGTAATCTTCAAGTTCAGTTTTTTAAGTGATGTGGTTGTTTCCATTGGACCTATCTCTGTTACATGTTTTCTACTGGTCTACATTGTTGTGATTTTTTGGGCAAAATCTTTTTCAGCCACCAGCCAGAGTTCTAATTTGCACAATTGCCTTCGGCAATGCGAGATTTGATCTTAATTGTTTTCTGCAGGGCTGTTGTGTGAATGCTCCCATGATTACAGTGGTTGATTACTCCAATGGATCTGAAGGATATACATACAATTATTATGTGGGTCCATGACAATCCTTCTTATTTTGAATTTCTCTTTAAGTTTGTGCTCAAAATGGTGGGAAACTGAAAAGGTTGTTTTTAACTTCAATGCAGGAAGATGTTACACCAGAAGGAGTAGTTGAGATAGTGGAAAAGTTGAGAAAGGGTGAAAAACCACCGGTAAGACACTTGACATAGAAGATATTTCCATTTCCTTCCCCAGATTTTCTCACTGTTTTGTTTGGCCAACTGGCCTGGTGGTCCCTATTATACTCTTTCCTAATTTGAAATGGCTTAAGGCGGACTAACTTTGGATTCTCGAACAAATATGTTGGGGTATACTCTGTTTATTTTCCTTTTTAGCTTCTTTTGGCCTGTGACTATACCTTTGTTCCATATTTCAGCATGGCACACAAAACCCCAAGCGCACAAGGAGTGGACCTGAAGGAGGGAACACTAGTTTGCTAGGTGAACCAAAGCCCCCTCCATGCCGGGATCTTGATGCATGCTAAAATCTTATTCGGTAACATCCTCAATAATTCAAACAGCGGATCTAATAAGCTTATTTGGGTTGTATCCTCGTGCCAAATTTTCTACTGAGCATTTTTTTCGTCTGCAATATCCTGCCAGCACTTGTACTGGTGCATGTTTAGTTTAATAGATTCTATTTTTGGTTGTGGGTCTGCCTCCCTCTGTAATGGATAGAAACATTCATCCCATTAACTCATTTCCGTGCAGCTTTTATGTGGCAAAAATGCTTTGCTTTTGGCAGCAGTACAGTATTCTCACACAATTTGAAGGAAGTTTGATAAACTCATTTGAATAAATTGTTTGTTCCCGGAATTAGACTTAGTTTAGATATGTCGATTCTTTTGGTTTATGCTGAGAACACTAAATCAAACTTTTGATTGTAGTTTGTTCTTGGCTTTTCAATCTTTTATTATCTCTGTTTCAGTCAGGATTTTTGGAACTGTGAATTTTTTATCTGTGCATGTGCAGGGGCAGAAATAGCAAAATATTTTGATAATTTAAGTTCAATTTTTCTTAGTGCTGACAATTTGGAGTCCGGTTCAAAAGTTGGTTCAAACTTATTTTATGCTTGAGCTTGATTTGTTCAAAATATGTATACATATATATATGAGCTTTGAGCTCAGTCCAAGAAAAATTTGGTAAGAAGCTACACCTAAATAATGCTGGAGCTCAAATTCCATAAAATTTTAGTTAGTACATACAATATAATATACATATATATATATATATAATAGTATTATTACTTTAAAATACAAATAGCTTTATGTTTTGGATAAAATATATTTAATTTATTGATTTATTAATAAATGCTTTTGAAACCTTTTGAACTAAATAACTCCAGTTTTCAGTTCTCTTCAGGCCTACTGATTTCATTAAATGATAGGCAAAACTATATACAAACAAAATATTTTAGCACAAAAATTGTGTACGTTGAAAATATTCTTGTACCATCTTAGAACATGAATATATATATATATATATATATAAAATTTTTTTTTTTTTGTATAAAGAATGAAACATGTTATTTTTTGAGTTTAATTTCTCATGATGAATGAAACCCATGGCTGAGTTCTGAGGTAGAGGCAGACAAGGGCATGGAAGGGGGGAATATTTTCTTATACTCACCCACCCAGAACCCAGAACCCAGAACCAGAACCAGAACCAAGAATCTGCTCCATTGATCCGTCTCGATTACTTATTTGAGAAGCTTGTGTCACGTTTGAAGACAATCTGCATCCTCTCAACCGGCTGACTACTTCCCAACTAATGACAATCAGAATTTTGGTCATCAGACACTTTACAACTTAAAGAATCTGTAATCTTCTCTGTCTCTCTCTCTCTCTATCTCTACAATGATTTAGAATTCAATAATGATCCAGGAGAAAAGAAAAAAGAAGTCAAAAACAACTTTAAGACAACGCACGAAGCTGCTCTTAAGCAAAAGTAACCACTACCAATTACTGTTGGACTACAACAACCACCAATTTTGCAAAATATCCAATTCTACCTCTGGAATTCCCATTTCATCTGGAAAATACACTACTTAAAACATTCTTTTATACATTTATCCACCCACTTTTTAGGAGGACCCACAACCCACTAAACCAAAAATTAGAGCCCCCCACTATTAAAGTGCTTCCATCATTGTCCACTACTCTATGCCATTGATACAGAAAAGAAGAGCATATCAAGTGAGCTTTGACAATTCCTCTCCCTTTACTTGGAACTTGGCGAGACTTAACGGACCTGCACTCCATTCTTTCTTTTTCTTTTTTAATGGCATTGACAACAAACCCTGTTTTGACAAAAGCTGCAAACCCAAAAGCAGCAACTGTGGTATCTGACTTTGATTTGCAATTTGAAGCTAGAACAACTTATTTTCCCGGGGGTTGGAATTTGGGGGGGAAAAAATAATAGTATGTGGGGACCCCAGACCATCTTAGTGACAACCAGATGTGGACCTTGGGAGGGAGGCATATCTTTCTATGCCAATTAAGGCGGGGGATTTGCTTCCGGCTTTACAAGTGAAGAGGTATCTGGTGGCTGTGCATGGTATATTGCTGTAGCCAATGAGATGGGCATGATACAAAGAGCCTTTGATTGGAGGAATTGCATAGCAGCTCCTACATTTTCTTCCATCAGCTTTGCCACCTGTCGTTCTGTGCCATCATTCGACCACTTTTCCCATGCCGGTTGGCTTCTTCCACCTTCACCAGTTTCATCCTGCTTTACAAACAAGAGGCTCAATTTCCTGATGATAACGGGAGACACAGCCATTTTAATGTTTTTATAATCTATTACCTCAACTGATGATAACGGAATGTCAGTTACAAGAGGCGCCACAGCACCGGCTCCTCCTAACCTACTCATGCTCAAAACCTGCAAAGTTGACCCATGGAAGATTACCAAATGAAAAAAATAAGGGTTAGACAAATTGGGTTGGGCACTCCAAATCCTATGGATGGAAAAACGCACTCATGCGAGCCACAACTTTATCATATCTTATGAGAAAATAAATAGTGTCTTATCAATGCATAATTCCACTCTGGGGATTCATGATGGGCTTTTGACAATGGAGGCGTCCCATTATCTAAAGTTAGAAGTGAAATTTTCCATGTGAAGAAGTAACCACATTTTCCTTGTAATTTGGTGGAGTAGCATAAATTAGGAGATTCAAACTGCAAGAACCAAGGGCTAAGAAACTGATCATATAAGCATGTGCTGAGCAATCATGGAACCAGTGTGTATCATGTTCCCTTAAACAAAAATTTCATTGGTGCAGCACACCAAGGATGAGGTGGATAAAATTGTGTCCATAATTGTGTGAGAATCCGCCACCAATTATTTTGAACAAACATCGTCACCAATTCTTTAAGCAAATGAGTTGGAATAAAAATCTGCTTAGATTGGATAAGGCACAACCAGAAGTTAGGTAACACATTGGCCGAGCAACTACTTCAATTTTGATGATGTCTAAAAAATAAAAAATAGAAAAAGTGAATGCTATAAAGAAATCCTTTTTAAAAAAAAATGAAAAATGCTATAAAGAAATCAAGATAGGGAACATAAACAAAAATCAATAAATACTGAAGCTATCTCCTTTAAGTTATATGTCTTAGTAGTAACCACTACAGGGACAGATAAAAGAGGTAATTTCTCTAACAAACACGAAGATGGTTGATTATTACCTTAACTTGGAGTCTTAGGAACTTTACATAATCTACAATTTCATCAAGCATGGCAGCTCTATCTGTCTGGGAAAAAAAAACCTTACGTCAGAACCAAGGGAGTAAAAAAGCATACCATTACAGTTACCAAAGTATCTTGCAGTTGACATAGCAAGGGTCCACATGCCACTAAAATAATCATAAATAACCAACTATAGAAGTCATATATTTTCAACGATTAATCACTATTTTGACTCCAAGGTATCAGACCTAATCCTCTCACTTTGGGTGGGGGTGTGTGTGTATATATAGGATATACTCCATCAAGTTTCAGCCAAAAAAAAGAAAACCTCCATTCAGAATCATGGACTTTTAACAGACAAAAAGATAGTCCAAGGAATCAGTTTTCCTCATGACCAACTTTTCCACATCAAATCATTCGATCCATCTCGAAGTCAAAAATGTCAACTATTTCAATTTCAGACTTGAATCCACAAGTTACAAAGAGACATACCGTACCATCAAGCTGTAGCAAAGTAGTAATAACCATTTGGTTGAAAATTTCCTACTAAAGGTAGTACAAGATGTCTTCGGAAGGGATAGTGTTTACCAAATCTGGCTGAAAACTTACTTCTTTAGTTAGAAAACTATCTATACATAGTTTCTCTGAATCCGGACTTGTCTTTTGATATTATTAATACCACCAACCTCATTGATACAAGTTCCCTAAGGAGAAAATAAATTTCTAGTATTACCACCAGTTTCCATCCCTGGTATCTGAATAAATGGGAGAAAGGCTTTTCTTTGTTAAACTGAAGTGATACACACAGGGACCTTTTCCTCATTTAACCAGGGACCCATCCAGCCCTAACCCCAAAGTTCTGTGGGGATGGGAACAGGGACAAAGATAGTAGCTAACTTGCCCAGTTTCATTTTGCAAGACAAAGTGGGGATACCAACCAAAACTTTTTTATCAAAATTCTCTTGAATACGCAGGCAGAAAGAATTTAATTTTTCATAACACTTCATTGAATATACACCGAGCAGGTCCCAGAAATACCAGAAAACAATTAATATCTCTCAAACAGCATAACGATGTATACAGAAAACAATTGTTTTTCAGGGAACTTCCCTAAAATAGACTACAAGAATGCCAGAAACATCAGAAAAATATTAGGCTTAACTCCCAGTTGAATAAATTAGAATACTAGGAACAGTGTCCTTATGTTCAACAGTAGCAAACACAATAAATCAGCTTATCAGAGCGGGGGCTAATAGAATCTTAAGAAAGAAAGTAATTAGTATGCATTCTCACCACTAACTTCCTTAAATGTATCCTTACCACTAACTTAGGGTGAAAGGAATTAGTCTAGGATTTCCTTCTTCTTTTTCCTTCTCTCAGTTGTATAAGAACAACATGCTCACCTTTTGAGGATGCTTTTGTGTAGACACAAGGAAAATGCATATTTGCAGCTAAGTAGTTTACTTATTCAGCAAAGAACAACTGACCTTGTTAACACTGGGCACAAGTTCCTGCAGCGCCCTAATTCTTTCTGCTATTTTTTCTCTGCGTAACTGTACAGAAGTATAAATACAAAGTTCACTCAATATTTTAATAAAATTTCAAGCAAAAATGAACTCTAAATGCAAGAAAAAGAAAGTATATATATGACTTATTAAGTATTTATGGGATCACCAATAACAATCCAATTTATTTAATCAAGACAAGAATCCAGATAATGAATCCTTCAAAAAATCTTTTCAAAATAGCTTTAGACAATAAATGGCAAGCTTCTCCCAAGTAATACAAGAGAAGATAACTCCCCTCTCACACTGAATTGTATAAACCATGAGAGGAGGATGGTCACTATACAATTTGATTATAATGAAAACAGCAAGATAAATCCAGTTTGCTTATTCCCAGATTCATGATCAGTAAGAGTTTTTAGCTTCAATCAAACAAAGGAATCAGATAGTGATTACTCACTACTACACATGCATACACATTAAAACTGAGAAATAAGGAAACATCTATCACGGTATAACTTTTTTCTTCACACTTCAAGGGACACATAGAACATAAGAAAAAATATAAATGAGATATAACAAAGTCAAGCCTCTTTGTTCTATGTCTGAAACCAACACTTGCATCTATTCTAAGTACAAGTCAACATGCTACAGGGCCTTACCCGCTCAGCTATGCTATGTGGATCTGTGGCCTGGCCTCGCCGAGCCCGTACCCGTGGTCGCATTACTGGTGGATGGGGTGCTGCAGGAACAGTTGTTGGCATTGGTTGACCATGGAAAACCTGTCCAATAATTCGAAGATTCACCACCAAAAGAGAAATAAGGACACAGAAGGACTAAACAGTTATTTTTTCTGCAAGTTTAGAACTGTTCATCAGTATTTCACCTCCCACAGGAAAAAATAATTTTTTTAATTATAATTATATATTTAAACAAACCATCGATGGAACATTTGTGAGAGTGGATGACAATAACATTAAAAGACAAGTGGATGTTGTCAAAAATGTTGGAATACAGCATTGAGGATACAATTACTACAAAGCCAGACGAGAAGTGCAGGGGATAAGAATGTCAAATTCCTATCTCAGGCAATATTAATATAAATGTTTTTTCCTTTTCCGAGAGGGAGAGAATAATATATGGAGATGTTCTCTTCCATGGAAAAAAATCAATCTAACAATTTCTAGATCTTAAAAGGAAATGTAAAAGGGACAGAAAAAGGTTTTAGAAGCAAATTACCATATGGACCCAGAAAATTACCAAAAATCAGCACTTCCAAATTATTACTTCAATATAGATCAAAAATTAAAAAACTCCTTTGAAAGCATACTACAGTGTTAAAAAATGTTGAAGAAAGAGAACTTTGTGTCTCTGACCTACGCCTTGTGGAAAAACCTGTCAACACCTGCAGGTGGCTATTTCCAGTGCCATCTGTTTTGTTGTCTCCATGAAAAAAACTCATTCATCAAATCATTTCATCATAAATATATTTAATCACTCTATCCGTCAGTCAACTCTATCATTAAAGCATCCTAATAAGGACTTGCTCGTTGCATTCTCCCTTGTCAGGTATGAGTAGGAATCTCACAACAGTATATCAAGGGCCCAAAGCCAACCTTGCTTAGGCTCCTTATTGTCGTTCTTTTCCCTTGTCTTTTAGCTAATAGAGAAAATTCAAAACAGTAAAGAAGGAAAGTTTAAAGTGAAAAGAATTATATGATCATCCCAAGTAAAAATCAAGTCTTTCTTCAATCTTTAATGAGTTACGAAATCCCAGGCAGAAAAAGAAATGTTCCATTTGGAGACAATATGTAAATTAAATAAACTAAAATAAGAAATAAGGACCATCAAGCATTTCCAGAAAGCTCCTTTTTTTTTTCTCGATGATCAACAAATAAAAAAAATAAAGGACAAAAAGAAAATACTTTATCTTACATTTTTCACAGAGGAACCTCTACCATCAACGACGTCATCGCGAAATCGTTTGCCGCTGCCGGAAGCGTCCTCGGGCTTCAGAAAACCCCCCTTCCCTTGTTCCAAACTAAGCCCCAGCGGAAATACGGGAGTATGAAAGCCAGCGGCAGCTCCAGCTCCTCCAGAGCCGGCAGTGAGAGCGGTCATGTGAGCAGAGCCATCACTGGAACTCAGCTGCAACATCATCGGAGGCACAGACGCAGCTGTTCCGCCCAATCCGCCATCGTGTCCTGTCAAGCCTGTGTCGGCGGAAGCGAAGTTAGGGAGACCGAGGATTTGCTCGAGGAAATCATCGGAAGCAGCTTCGTTTGGGTTATTACTAGCCATGAGCAAGTCTCCGCCGAGTGGAGTTAAATGGAGACGATGAATTAGGGATTCCAAATAGCATCTACATGCAAAACAAAGAAGAAGAAGAAGAAGAAGAAGAAGAGAGAGATTGACTGGTTAAATTCTCTCCCTGTCTCTGTCTCTGTCTCTGTCACCGTCCCTGTCTCTCTCTCGCTCAAAGCTCAGCTTTCCTTTTGCAGAAGCTGTTTATTTCCAAGTTTCTTTTTTTTTTTTCTCTACTGATGAATATTTTCCAACTGAGCAGAGTAGTGAGAAGGAAGAGAGACGGAGGAGGGCAATAAAGAGGGTGGCATTTATGGTTGTTAAAAATGTGATCCTTTACGAAAAAGGGGTTGACTTTTCACTAATTTACATATCTACCCTTATTCTCCTGTGAGTTAAACGGCGTCGTTTGATTCGGGAAAGCCGTCGAGTTCACTCACTCTTTCAGACTAGCATTTTTGCGCTTTTTGTGCCTGTGTGAATTTCGCACGTGCTGCTGCAGCGGGTAGTGGGACCAGACCCGACCATTCACATTCCCACGTGCATGCTCGGCTCATTTATTAATATTAATTTATTAATTACTAACTAAATTAATATTAATTTAGTTAATTTAGTTAGTAATTAATAAATTAATTAATTTAGTTAGTAAGGGTTGACGCTATGGTTATTGTAAAATATAATTTAAGATAAAAAGATTTAAATTTTAACTTATTTAAATTAAAATTAATACATATTACGATATATTAAAAAATAAATATTATTTTATAAAATATAGAAAAAAATTTAGAATTATTATTAACGTTATAATTTTATTGTTATTTTTATTATTTTATATTATTAAATTAATAACATAATTAATGAAATAAATAAAGTTTTACAAAAAAAAATAATTATAAAATTATAAATGAAAATCTAAAATAATTGTTTTGACTTTTTCCCAGAACATAAACGTAACAACAGACCTTAAACTAAGAAGGTTGTCTTACGTTGCCCCTTTTGTTGTCAACCATTTCAAGCTCCTAAATAATGTCGTCCAACAAGAAAATACTGCAATTCAATCATATAATTCCTTAACATTTTGAAAAGCAACAGCCAGAAAATTGATTTCTTCCAAGGAGATTTCCATCAAAGAAGGGCAGACTTCAAAGATTTAGCATAAATTTCCAGCTCCTTTAGTCCTTCCTCCGGAGATTTCGCTTCACCCAACACCTTCACCATCGCACTGCCAACGATCACACCATCGGCTCCCCATCCAGCTACCTGTAACACAGTTAAAACTCACTCATAAAGCTCATCAAGTCCACAACATAACGGGTTTGCCTTAAGGTTTGTGTGTAGAGCCAACCTGCTTCACATGCTCGGGTTTTGATATGCCAAAGCCAACTGCTACTGGTTTATCCGTAGCCTGTCATAACAATAAAGGTTGAAGAGCAAGACTGTATCAAGCACATTTTAGATCACAACCGCAGAGGAAAGTTATAGTAACCTAAGATCTTCATGGAGGTCAGATTCATGCCAACCTGCTTCACATGATTGGGTAACAAAACCCTTTTTATCTCGGAGCATGGGCCTGATGGGTATGGTAATTACCTAGTGAACATTTCCAAGTAGTTCAAGAACAGAAGAAACCTGCTCTTAAGAAGTTAAAGATGGATAAATCCCTCATAAACTTCTGAAGAAGATTTTAGAATGCCCATCCTAAAACATTTTCTATCGTTCCATTTGATTTAGACGTGGAACATGTCTGCTTTATATTGTGTAAGTTTTTTTTTTTTTTTTTTTTTTCAAGATAAAAAAAATGTAGAGTTAGTATAGACACCAAGAGGGTATTGCCCCTATACAAAATACTTACAAATCAGTAAAAACTATATTGTGTAAGTTGGTAACCCAGAAAATTATCCACATGCCATTTTAGTAGAGACTATTTTATGGCATTTAGTTGGTGATCAATCAAAAGTGCTAACTTGGAGCTACAAGCTAGATTATGAAGGCGAACCTCTTTAATGTCCCGTAGAAGAGTTTGTACTCTGTCGCTTACAGATGCACGTGTGCCAGTAACTCCTATCGAGCTAACCTACAAGTCCAGCAAACTCGGAGATTAAGTTCAAGTCCAACTCCCAAGTTCATTAATCTTGACCAAAAATTGGAATAATACTTTAGGAATTGCTGGATAGAAAAAGGAACTAGCCTTAAACAAGTGCAGTTGAGAAACAGAGTATAAAGAGAGTACATTGAATGAGAATCTTAATGGGCAGATTAATTGAAGGAAAGAATCAGATGAGAACTACTGAGGGATCTTACAAGATAAACAAATCCCTCTGATGCTTCCACAATGGCCTTCATCCGATATGTTGGGGTCGTGGGCGTCGTAAGCAGTACCTTAATCACACCAAGCAAAGTAAACATATAAATCAGCTGTACAGGTAAAATGAGAAGGAGAAACTCAGATAAAGGGAAAGGTCTTAGTAAAATTGAGTGTGTAATGACAAAAACTGAATAGAGGTGATGCAAAATGCTATACATTTGACATATGGGCTACATATGTCAAGACATCAACGAAAGTTGACGGGCTATGAGCATGGATTATCTCCAACAATATTTAACATGCCAAAATCACAGACGTACTCTTTTAGATAAATAATCTTCAAACAAATTAACCTGATGAAAACCATTGTAGGGCATAAAATTAGGGCTAACCGGCATTTTGTCCTAAAACTACAGCTCTTGTTATAAATTAGTTCTAATCTTTTTAATTGCAATCATGTGCCCAATCAATCAAGTACATTTCAATCAAGTCCTGTTTTGCATTAAATCAGGGAAGGATCTATTATTTGAGTTGAAAAGTGTGTTAAATTTAGAGGCGTAATACTCTAATAAAAGTTTGGTTCAAATTCCAATTCTATGTGATAAGAATGAAAATATAATATAAATCTGAAAGATATTTGAACAAAAATAACAGTCTAATTCTAAGTCAATTTCATGACTAATTCAAATTAGACAAAAGTTTTTATGAATTTTTCTTTTAGCAGGCGAAAGTAAAAAAACCATAGTTGTGAAATTGAAGATATGGGTAAGTTGATTTAGTTACGTATTAAATGTGTAAATCACAACTAACTTTTAAATACTAAATAACTAACATCTACTAATTGAATTGGAATAGAATAGTGTGAACCAAATGCAACACAATAGTAACAAAAAGAAAGTTGGAACTGAAGATTATAATGTCAGGATCAAAATAGCAAACTAGATCAAATAACTAAGCAACAAATTATATGCAAAATTATCAAAACATAACCCCCTTCTCCAGTCCACACCAGCTCAGCATCAGCCCAGATTACCAAATTATGCTTACCATAACTGGTTGAAAAGGAGGCAAAAATATTCTGAAAGAGAGAAGTACCAGTTCAATCTTGTTCTTGACAGCTTCCTTCCTCAATGTGTCAGTTTCCTCTAGAGGAACATCGGGAACCACAAGTCCTGCAAACAAATAGGAGACAAAATTAAGCACATACGTGCAGTTAGCACTTGTTTCACTTTTCCTTTTAAATGTCATATATGCCACTTGTTTTGAGCAGGGAGGGGAACGAGAGGAGTAATTTCCTTCTGTTTCAGTTGAAGAATCCAAGCAATGGGAGACATTTAGAATAAAGTAAACAATAACCTACCAACTTGGAAGAAAGACCAATATGAAGCATTCAAGAGGAGATCAATTTAACATACAGTTGTTGAGATCAACCATGCCAATGGATAGAGATAGGAATGAATTTTCTCATTTATTATCACATGGAACCATTGGCCCATGTTGAATTGAGTAAATGATATTGGTCAGCTTAGAAATGCTTGATGTATATAGCTAAAATTAGGCAAAAAACATATTTTCCCAATATAGAGGAGACTGCAAACAATGTATCAAAGCACGTATGGAGCTTCCAACTCAGGCATGGGACTCACCAGCAAAATAGGAGTGTTTCAAATGAAAAAAATAGATGGGTTCCTCCTTAGTGTGGTCACCCTCACCAACTTTCAAAGCTCTAAACAACTCCAACTTTCTGGTTCTTAACAATATTTTATTCAGTGCTCCATAACAAAAATAAAAAGTACATGAGACAATGGATCTCCTTGTTTAAGATCTTTGGAGGCCTTGGAAAAGAAAACAGACTCCCATTTACCATGACTGCAAAAGATATTGTAGACTAAAAACTAATTCACTTGCACCAATTGCCCCCGAAGTCCATTCTCCTTAGCAAATAATCAAGAAAGACTCAATTCACATGATTATAGACTTTCTCCATATCTAGCTTGCAAAGGACACCCTCTTCCGATTTAACATGTTATCCACCACCTCACTGACAACAAGTGATGCACCTAAGATTTGTCTTCCTTCCATAAAAGTATGTTGGCATTCACCACCACTTTATCCCTAACCTTGAACATTCTTCTACCTAACATCTTCACAATGAGCGTATAGATGATTCTACTAAACTGATAGGTCTGAAATCTTTGATATTAACTGCCCCCTCTACCTTGGCATTGAGTACCAAGAAAGAAGAATTTAAGGATTTAATAAAAGACCCATATTCGTGTGATTCCTTAAAAAGCTCAAGAATATTCCCTTTCATTATATGTCAAAATTTTTTAAGGAAACCCATGTTGAAACCATTGGGGCCAAGGGCTTTATCCCTTCTACAGTGCATGAGTTCCTCAAAACTTTCTTTTTCAATGGACTCTCTTTCAAGTGATAGTCTGTTTGCCTCATCAAAAACCATGAAATTGATATCATTTAACTTAGGCCTCCAACTAAATTCCTCTCGATATAAGCTGCAGAAGAAATCATGAATCCCTTGCCTCAACTGCCCATTTTCTTTTGCCACCCAGTCACCAATCTCCATCTCCTCTATATAATTTTTTCTTCTATAATAATTTGCTATATTATAGAAATATTTTTTGTATTCCCGGCCCCCTCATTTATCCACTGGGCTCTTAATTTCTGTCTCCAAGACGTCTGCTCCATTTGTAATCTATTTGCGAGTTCAATCTTAGAAGATTCCTACAAGCCAATACTTCTACAAACAAATCACTTTCTCCCTCTCTCCTCTCAATAGTCTCAATATCCTGAAGTAGAGATTGGGTATACATACCTCCGCTCCTCCTCTCCTCCATGCTCTACTTTTTGATTTCGGCTTTCACTACCTTCAACTTTTGAGCTAACTTTATCATCTACCCTTTCCCCATTCAATCACTCCTTAACCTTATTGCAAAAACCATAAACTTTCAACGTCTATCCTCAAATCTGAACGGGCAAGGATCCCACAAGACTTGTCAATTCTATCATCCCCAAGCAATGACTAATTCTCTTCCTTATAATTAAACATGTTTTGAACTTTTTCCATCACACTAATTTTTGTGAAAGAGACTACAAAATAAGAAGAGTAGACAAGAATAACTCGTTTTGGACAGCTGAAAACCAGGTTGATAGGGATAAACTGATATCGGTGAACTGACTTGGACAAATCCAGTTCAAAAAAGTCAAAACAGAACAAATTGAGTGACTTTTGCTCAGGGCTAGGCATGTGCGAGCTCCACACATTAGCTTTCGGTCAATGGAAGGTGACTATTTGACAGTCAAGTCAACTGGAGGTGCTGGTTGCAAAATGGATGCCAGTCTAAAACACGATGGTGTAAAGTCTGAAATCACGAGAGACGGTGGCTATGAGAGCTTGCACCCACAAGTGTAACGGATTCCAATAGAGTTTCATGATAGGGCTTCGGGGGCCGGTCTGTCAGGCCTTTCTGAAATTGGTGGTAGAGGCAGTCGACCACCTCCAAATGGTAGTTGGTGAAAGGTATTGGCAGTTGTTTAGGGTTTCTTTGAACTTTTTAGATGGTTTTGAGACTCTTGGGTGCAATGTTTTAGAGATTTTAGTGCAGGATCCGTTTAGCTCTAGTATCAAATTCATATAGGACAAATAAGATTAATTTGTCCAATTAGGGATTTGGAGATTTAAAAAAAAAAAAAAACACATAGATATTACATATAGGATTTCTCATACACCACACTTGAGAAATATTAAGTATCACACTTAAGGATTTGATTACACCACACAACTAGAAAATGAGAAATTCTTAAAATATATTATTGATAACTTGAATCTCTCCAATAAGTGAAATTTTTGAGATGATAAAGTTTTTTTTGAGATAAACCAGTAAGTGAAATTACAAAACTATTTATAAGATCTCTAAGTTACCTTTCCTAAATAGAATTAAACTAAGAAATAATGAACTAGTAAATTAGGAATTTTAATCCTAATAACAATATGAAACTAATATTAACAATATTAGAAATACTAATTTTAATACAAATAGGAAATAGTAGAATAAATAGAAAAAATACTAATAAGAATAAAAATCTTAAATCATTAAAACTATAATAACATTTCTAAATAATTAATAATAGACTTCTAAATAGTATAATAGTTTTACACTGAATATAATTATAATTTTTAATCTATTTAGGATCTAGTGATAGTCATTCTGCATCACATATA